AGAAACAACCCGGCTAAATAGCCTGCGGTGGACTTTCTCCTACATCTGACTTACATCCCTTCGTTCTCCCCGAGTCCTGAAGAAGTAAGTGGTGGAGGAGCCTAAACCCAGTGAAATTGACAGCCACCTCTGGGAGGGGAGACAAGGAAAATCAGGCAGGAAGCAAAATGCAATTTGGCAGGCCAGGTAATTAGCCAATTAATGGTAAAAGACCATTGCATCACTGGTCTGCAGCGGTGCTGCACATCTGGCCACTGAAACGTGATGCAATGCAAGACTTGGCCGACTCAATACTCTAAAATGAAGACTTTAAATGTCAGATAGAAAAGGGATACTTAAAATTCATACCTTTGACATTTTTATTCAGGATTCCAAGCACGCGCGCGCGTGCGCACACACTCATTCAAATCTTGATTTTAATTCTCACTCTTTAAGCACACACCGCAGATTGTACACTTAATGGGCCCAATTCAATACTGCTCTCCAAGCTTGTGCAAATGGTCTCCCAGAAATGCACTTTTCCACTGAGTTGGGAATAGGAAGGGGGTCTGCAGCTTTTTTTAGCCAGCCATATCATGAGATGCCCAGAAGCTTTTGCTCAATCCCAGAAGAGTAATTTGAGAACAGTGCTTGAGAAAATAAAGTGGATGTTATCCCTTAAAAGCTCTGTTGTTTCTCTCCCTTTTATAGCAAGGAAGGGCGAGGACTGAGTGCCCAAGCCGTTTGATCTTCTCTCTCCCCAGAAGGACAATTAATAAGAATTTGGGGTTTTATGGAAGAGTTGCTGTGCTTAGTATTACCAAACACTTGACCTCATTCACTTTGGCTTCGCTTGGGAGGGAGTTTGCACGCACATCGGTTTAATTTTGTACCTGTCTACTTGCTTCACGTGGGAGAGGATGGAAAATGCAGTAAGTCACTCAAAAAATGGTTGTTCGGCCTCAGTTTTCAACATGAGCCCAAGGAGATACCTGGAGGGACACACCCCATAGCAAAGCCATGTGGGGAATTTAAAACTAGGCTATGAATTAGCAAAGCCAGGCTGGGATCCACACACCCTGTGGAAGTGCCAGAGCCCAGTTGGCACCATGCATAAGGGTAAAAGATGGTCTCTAGTTCACCATGTGGGGCAACCACAGGCAGGGTCCCCAGCTCTGGACTTGCAAGGTCTTAAGCTAAGCCAGGGTGTCCAACCTTGGCCACTTTAAGACTTGTGGATATCGGCTCCCTGCAGAACTGGCTGGGGAATTCTGAGAGCTGACGTCCACAAGTCTTAAAAGTTGCCAAAGTTGGACAGCCTGAGCTAAGCGGTTTTAGCCCCATGCAAGGCTCAGCTGGAGACCTTCTCCTTGCCAAACCCCTCCTGGGGAGCAGCTCGTGACATCAACCTTGGCAGCTCAGTTCCCGTGGGGGTCACTCCTTGTCTGCCCACGAAGCGGTCAGCATCTCTGCCTGGGCACCTCCTGCCTGCCCTCTGTTGGGTTGTGGGCATCACCACTGGCTCTGCTTCCCCTCCCCCTTTCCTGCCCCCAGCCCTGCCTCACCCCCCTCCAGTGGTGGGATTCAAATATGTGAACAACCGGTTCTCTGTGTGGATGCCGCTTCCAGAAGCCTATTCTGGGCCTGGGCAACAAAAAATTAGCTACCGGTTCTGCCGAAGTGGTGGGGACCGGCTGAATCCCACCACTGCCCCCCTCCCTCCCAGCTTCTCCAGGGTCTGCTCTCCGCTGGGCACTCGCCTTTTCCCAGGCCTTCCCTGCCATCTAGCGAGAAGTGCCCGGAACTGCAAGGCTGCTTTAGCTCTGGGAGAAACGCTCCCTTCTGAAGGAAGTCACTCTTCTCTTGCAAAGAGCAGAAATTCTGGCTTGGAAGCTTCTGGCTAGCTGCAGTGACTTACTGCAATATTTTGAATCCTTTTTTTTAATTAAAAGTTTTAAATAATTTTCCATACCATATCCCACTTCCCTCCCCCCCTCCCCCCTTCACTTCCCAGAGCTGGTTACAGGGTTATAAAAACAAAATCATAAATTAAATAACATTACCCAGATATACTACAATCAAATCCCATCCAAACATACTTTAACTCTACCAAATAGATAAATCTTAACACTTTACCAGCAAAATAATAATATAATTAATAATAATATAATTAAACATTATTACTAAAAATAATATAAATTCATCCATAATAAACTATTAATAATAATCTAAAATTTACTCATAAGCTAAGTAATACTTTTCAATCTCGTATTTTTTCTGAATATAATCAATCCATCTTTTCCAAACCAA